TCCCCAAATGTTACATTATTTTACTGCACCCTGAGAGGAATATTAAGAAAGGCATGACTGGGAAATATCCAAGATGAGCATTTTGTATTTTCAGTGTTTTTCAGAGTAATTAAAAAAGTACTCACATTTGAATTTGAAGCAAAATAAAATACCATATGAGAAATGTCTTTTTTGTGATTCTGAATAGTATTTTCCTTTTAGGCCTTTTTAAAAAGAAATATTTACAGTACGAGTACAAGTATAAAAAAGGACATGTCTAGAAATTTTGAAAAATAACATGAAATAGGTTATTATAAAATAAAATGACAGTACACTGCTGTTATTGAATATCAGTGATGGGTCAAGGATAAGGCAAATATAAATATACAATTAGAGCTGAGTACTATCATAAAAAAAGGAGAGAAAACAAAGACAGCAACAACCAAGATACATGAAACCAAATATCACAATCAAACAGGAAAAGAGAAATAATTAAAAACAGAGACAGGAAGACTAAAACTATATCAATTATATATATGAACACCGCACTGTATAGAAAACATCACCGCAATGAAATAGCCATAGAGTCAGCAATGGACCAGACCAGACCTGGTTCTGAGGGCCTCAGGGATTGTAAAGTTGGAAACTAAGAGACAGATTCACTGATGTTTTGCACCAATACAAACTGAGCTTTGGTGTAAAAGAAAAAAAAAAGAAGCTACTCTGGCTACTGAAAAAGAGAGCACATTGAAAAGCGGTAGGAACTCTGAGATTTTTGCAACTGACCATCTCACAAACACATTTCTGGGAGTTTCTTTCTCGAGACCTAAAATATAGGGAGGGCAATATTTACTAACGTTTGACATATGCAATTTACTCCTAATCTTGCCAATATTTAATGTGAAATAAAGCATGCTGGGGTTTTTTTTTACGCTTAATACAATGGCAGTTACTGTATTTCTGCACAGAGGAAGCACTGAAAGGATTTAAGAACTTGTGCTGAGAGTGAGATTTTTCTCCCAATCACAGATGAAGATGTGTTTTAAAAAGTGTCAGCTGCACGCTGATCGGCACTTTCTATCTGTTTCTCTCTCTCTTCCACTCTCTTTCTCCCCTTCTCTCTCGCCGGGGCGGAACTCACTGTGGGTTCACGCCCTCGGCCCACGCCTTCGGGAAATGAGACACCTGGGTCTCATCAAGATGATCAGTATTTAAGCCTTGAGGTGACTGCTGTTCGTCGCTGGATCGTTGTCGACCACGCGCTAGTAAAAGCCAAGCTATAGCAAGTTCAGCTAAGTGTGTTTTTGGTGCATCGTATTTAATCATGTCTCCCTGTCTGCAGAGTTCCCTGGATTTTTCCCCGTGTGATTCCCGAGTGGCAAGTGTTGGAGTGAGAGCATGTGATCGTGTGTGTGGATTATCTGAAGAACGCGTGCTGTTCCCCTGGACTTCCCTGGAGCCCCTTTTCCCCCACTCAGCTGTACATAGCACTCCTCCCGCACCTTCTTGTATATACACCTGGTGAATTGTAAATAAACCTTTCTTGTGTGCATCCGAGCCCAGAGTCCTGCGCTTGAGTCCTCCTTTGAACCGTAACAAAAAAGTATAGGTTAAAGAAATAACACAATACCAGCAGCAGCAATAAAACTTCTTCAAGCATTTCAGTTTTTATCATTGAGTTCTCTTCAACATACTGTAGCTTCTGTGACAGGAATTTCACCATATGTGCAATGGGGTTCCAAGCAAAATGGCTGGAGAATGGTAAGAACAGAGGGATGGCAATAATGATTTTGGACACTATCCTGATAAAAATTTAGGTGTGGGATGAACATCAATCTGATTGTTGCATTTACAATCAAGGTTACAAGGTTATAGCTAGGCAAACCATATGACAAAACCAGATCCAGAGTGTGTCCATGTTTATGTGTGGGACCAACGACAGAGTGCAAAACATTAAAAGCATCAAGTAGGTTTAAAAAGTCCTTTGACAATGGCTTAGTAGGACAACACACAATAATATTCATAAGACCAATGATTAAAACTTGTCATACTTTAGCATTATTTTACTCCTGTTATATTTAGGTGGACAGGAAATCACTGCACAAAGAACAGGATTCAATTCAATTCAATTCAACTCCATTTTATTTATATAGCGCCAAATCACAACAAATGTTGCCTCAAGGCGCTTCATAGATACAGAGAAAAACCCAACAATCATATGACCCCCTGTGAGCAAGCACTTTGGCGACAGTGGGAAGGAAAAACTCCCTTTTAACAGGAAGAAACCTCCGGCAGAACCAGGCTCAGGGAGGGGCGGCCATCTGCTGTGACCGGTTGGGGTGAGAGAAGGAAAACAGGATAAAAGACATGCTGTGGAAGAGAGACAGAGGTTAATAACAGATATGATTCAATGCAGAGAGGTCTATTAACACATAGTGAGTGAGAAAGGTGACTGGAAAGGAAAAACTCAATGCATCATGGGAATCCCCCGGCAGCCTACGTCTATTGCAGCATAACTAAGGGAGGATTCAGGATGACTTCTACCAAGCTCAAACATATTCAGTTGAAAACTGGAGAAAGTGAAAGTTGACAGCTGACGAGAGAGAAAATTATTTTTATAAACTGCGACCACTCCTCCACCTTGGCCCGTAGTCCTCTGTGAGTTAAAATATGAACGGTCTGGCGGTAACAGTTCTGAGAAATAGCTTAACTCAACGTCACCTAGTCAGGTTTCTGTCACACAGAGGAAATCCAGATTATGAGAAGTGAAAAAATCCTTCAGTATGAATGTTTTATTTGCGTTAACCAGGGCAATCCAAGCAGGGTCCATCAGGCCTGTGACAGCCACCCAAGGAACCTGTGTTAATGGCCGAAGATTCCGCACATTCACTCCACTGCTGCCAAGAAAATAGAATAAATGTACATGTGTGGGCAGCATTGTTTATTGTTGTGTAAATATGTAGTTTCTAAATTTTTATTTAACTTTACTATGACTGCTACCATGACTGCTACCATTATATTGACTAGCAAAACCTCAGCCTACAGGCAGTTTTTGCCAGTGCTGCAGTGCTTTTTCAAAGTCTTCATTCCATATTTATGGTTGACTCTAACAAAGTGGGTGATTCACAGATGCAACTTAAGTTACAGATGAGCAATGTGCATTGTAGTTGAGATGTGAATAAAACAAACAGAGAACATAAGGTCACATTTGCGGATGATGATGATATATATGAAAATCAGATGAATTGAGATTTATATTTTTTTTAACTTATAGATGTTGACAAATGCTTTATGTGTAACCACGTTTATGCAAAGTTTGGATCAGATGGCCCACCCGTTATGGAAGGTATTTTATACATACATACACATTCATACATTATGATCATTGTAATTGCGGCACTCTGGCTCTGTTTCACTCTTCTGTACCACCTTTAGGAGTCAGTCCAGCAACAGGTATTTGAAACGCGAGCAAGACCACGTACTTTTGTTTCAAAAAAGATTAACATGGCAACACATGGTCAAAAAACTGTGTTGCTTCCAGCTTATCCAACTCCCCGACTACTTAAGCATAAATACTTAACAACAAACATGTATATTTCTTCTTTTAATCATTTTACCACTACCAATAAACTATCCTTTAATTGCTCTTACAATCATTATGGTAAGATGAAGCAATTCAGACTCAGAGAAATGGATAGAACAAATAGAATCCTTCTTATTAATTTCCTGTGTTTTTGTTTTAATATGTATGATATATTTTATTTTTGTTACCTCTAGGATGACAGTGTTTCAGTTTAATAACTCAAGGTTCACGTGAACTGTGTTGCATGCAGTTTGCTGTGATTGGGTCATCTTGTGATGACTCACACAAAAAACATGGCAGTTTTTAATGCACCTCATGAGCCTGTCACAGACTGTGTTGAAGGAGTATTTTTCTCAGCACAAATATAGTTTTTATGGGGTTACAGTGGATTATGCATTGCACCCTTTTTGATAATTGTGTTTGGCTGCTTTTTTGTATCTTTACTTGTGTTTGTATTGTTTGCGCTGATGTTCCTCAGACTGTAGGTGAAAGAAAACTACTGAGTGTCGAGGGAGATGCTGTGACACAGCCTGGTTTAAGGATCAGAGAAGTGAGAAACGTTAGTTCTAATTTACCTCAGTGTGTAAAGCTGGGAGGCAGCGAGCTCTTAGCCTTGCACTCTGATGGCGATGTTGTCATTGGGGGGTTTTTTCCACTGCATGTTGCTTCTAATCCACAGTACAGCTACAACAGCAAACCCCAAACTACACCTTGCAGCCGGTGAGTGCAAAGGTGCTGTTAATATCTGCTGATTTTGATACTATTCCCATGTTCCTATGAGGTTGATTTCTGTATGATAAAATAAATACTTTTTCCACTTGTAATTAATTAATTATTTTATTTTATTTTTTTAAAGCTTTTATCAACGGGGCTTTCGTTGGATGATGGCTATGATATTTGCAGTGGAGGAAATTAACAATAATTCGAGTCTGTTACCAGGTGTTAAACTAGGCTACTGGATTATAGACAGCTGTAACCATATCCATAACAGCCTGCAGGCTCTTCTGTCCTTACTCGGTCATTCTAAAGCTATCAGCAGTGTGGTAGAAAACACAGCAGAAACTGACAGTCGTATTGAAATGGAAGGATTAAAGACTGGTGAAACAACACAAAGGGAAAGAATACTAACACGAAAAAAGAGATGTATTAAAGCTAATATCACAATGCTGAATAGTCTTAAAAATACTGTAAATGACATGAAAGTAAATGCAACAGAAGAGATAAAAGCAAACCAGTCATCCACATGTCTGTATTATTCTCCTGTGCCTGCTGTAATTGGTCTTGCATCCTCTTCCCCCACAAGAGCTGTAGCTCAAACACTTGGCCCTTTTAACATACCACTGGTAATACACCGTACAGCTTTGTTTTTTAATGTTATATACTTGATTTGTGTTTTCTCTCAATGATAAAAATTAACTCACTTTCCATCTAGGTGAGTTATTTTGCCACTTGTACCTGTCTTACTGACAAGCGCTTATATCCATCATTCTTGAGAACTGTGCCAAGTGATGTCTTTCAAGTTAGAGGTCTTGTAAATCTTGTCACTTACTTTGGTTGGTTCTGGGTGGGCACACTAGGCACAACGGTGAGATCAAAACCTTTTTTAA